CCCAACCCCACCCCCCTCCTCTCTCCCCACCTCCTATCTCCCCGTTCCCCCCTTTTCCCCCCTTCTTTCCCCCCTGGTGCTCCACTGGACGGCCACCACGGGCACCACGATCGAGATGGAACTGCTAGCTGTTGGCCCAGCCCGCTACCGACTGGGTTAAAAGGGCATGCTTTTTGTGGTGGGTAGCGCACCCATTACCCCCCAGGACGGACCTGTAGCCCTCCCACACTCAACTAGGACGATCCCAGTGCCCCACCAACACAAGCCTCGTCGGCCGCCTTGTCGGGCGGGTAGTTCTCCGTGGGGTGGTCGTCGGCGGGCAAGATGTATCCCTCGGACTGCATCATCGCTAATAGCGCGGTGCTGCTCTCTGTGGGGTGCTCCTCCCTCCCCCTCTTTCCCCCATCCCCAGCCTCGTGCTCCACTGGAAGGCCACCACGGGGACGACCGTCGAAATGGAGTTACAAGCCACGTCGGCCGCCGTGTCGGGCGGGTGGTTCTCCGTGGGGTGGTCGTCGGCGGGCAAGATGTATCCCTCGGACTGCATCATCGCCAACAGCGCGGGCGCCGCCATTGGCGCGTACAGCATGACTTCGTACTCCTCCTCGGACATCACCACCGCTTCGTACTCACTCGGCTCGCCCGCCTACTCCTCTGGCGCCGCCACGTAGGTTCCCTCTCTCCAGCTTCTCACAAACGGGTGGCACAGGCAATCTCATTCGTGGATGCCACTCTCCCTCACACCCTCACTCTGACTCACACTCGCACTCTCCCCCCCTCACAACAGCTTCTTCCTGGCTCTCACTTTCCCATCCTCCCATGCTCCCCTCCTCCCTCCTCTTCTTTTTCCCCTCCTCCCCTCCTCCCCCTCCCCCCCCTCCTCCCCCTCCTCCCCTCCTCCCCTCCTCTCCTGCTCCCCTCCTCTCCTCCTCCCCCTCCTCTCCTCCCCTCCTCTCCTCCTCTCCTCTCCTCCTCCCTCTCCTCCCCTCCTCTCCTCCTTCCCTCCTCTCCTCCTTCCCCTCCTCCCCTCCTTTCCTCTCCTCCTCCCCCTCCTCCCCTCCTCCCCCTCCTCCCTCCTCCCCTCCTCCCTCCTCCCCTCCTCCCCTCCTCCCCTTCTCCCCTCCTCCTCCTCCCCTCCTCCCTCCTCCCCTCCTCCTCCTCCCCTCCTCCCCTCCTCCCCTCTCCCTCCCCCCTCTCCCCTCCTCCCCTCCTCCCCTCCTCCCCTCTCCTGTCCACTCCCCCTTCCCCTTCCCTCCCCCTCTCCAGCTTTTCCCGAGCGGTGGGCACGAGCAACGAGATCTCGTTTGTCAACGGCCCAATGAAGACCATCTGGGCCTACTCCGACGGGCTAGTCACCCTCTCTTGCACCCTGACCCTCACTCGCCGCGTCCTCTCACTCTCCTCCCTCTCTCACTGCAGGTTTTCCAGAACAGTGGGCACCGGCAACAAGATCTCGTTTGTCAACGGCCCCATGAAGACCATCTGGGCCTACTCCGACGGCCCTTCCACCACTCTCGACGGCCACGCCGGCCACCGCGGCAGCACCACCATCGACTACTCCTGCGACGGCACGGCCACCCCTCCCCTCCTCCCCCTGCCGCCACCCCCTTCCCCCGCCCCCTGCGAGTACCGCCTCCCCGCCCCCCCAGCTAGCGCCTCCCCATCCCCTCCCCCGCCCTCCACCACGCCCTCCCCTCCCCCGTCGTCCCCTCCTGCTGCGGGTGTGGCGTGTCCGGCGTCCACTCTTGACGGGTTCGACTATCAAGTGGAGCTCGGCGGTGCACTGTGAGTTGACGAGACTGCCACCCCCTGCTGCCATTCCCCTGCTGCCGCCCCCCTGATGCCACCCCCCTGCTGCCACCCCCTGCTGCCACCCCCTGCTGCCACCCCCTGCTGCCACCCCCTGCTGCCACCCCCCTGCTGCCACCCCCTGCTGCCACCCCCCTGCTGTCATGTGGGTGGGTATGCTTCCCACGCCCGCCCCTCCCCTCCCCACCCCGTCCCCTTCCTTGCCCTCCTGCTTCGGGTGCGCCGTGCCCTTCGTCAACTCTTTCCGGGTTCGACTATCGAGTCGAGCTCAGTATCCCGCTGTGAGCGATAGAGCTCGAGAAGGGGTGTACCATGTCCCCACCTCCTCTCTTTTCCCCACCTCCTCCCTTTTCCCACCTCCTCCCTTTTCCCCACCTCCTCCCTTTTCCCCACCTCCTCCCTTTTCCCCACCTCCTCCCTTTTCCTCACCTCCTCCTCCTCCCCCCCTCAGCATGCTCCTGCACTGGATCTTCGCCAGCGCCACATCCATCAAATTCGCAATAGAAGCCCGGGCCACCACTCTAGCCAACCCTTCTGTCCCTTTTCCCCCCTCCCTCCCCCTCCCTCGCCCTCCCTCCCCCTCCCTCCTCCCTCCCTCCCCCTTCCCCTCTCTTCCCCCTCAGCATGCTCCTGCACTGGACCTTCGCCAGCAGCACATCCATCAAGTTCGCAATGGAGGCGCGCGCCAGCACTCTATCCAAGGACGGCTGGATGGCTGTTGGATGGTCAGGCAGAAAGGGCAAGATGAAGGGCTCAGATGCAGTCATCGGGAACCTGCCAGGGGTGGCGGCGGTGCATATGAGCGGGTATTCCAAGAAGCTTGTGAAGCAAACGAGTGCGTTCTCTATAGGGACTGCTGAAGTTGCTGCCACCACCGAAGGCGGCACCATGATCACGTAAGTCTGAGCCTACTCCTGTCAAATATTCTTTTTCTTTTGAGCCCAATCAGAAGTTATCCCTGTAATTTACAAAAAGATGTTAACAGTGCTACTTAAGCATTGTTAAAATTGCTGACGCTGTACAGTATCTCTACCCCCCTGCTCTTTCAAATGTCCCCTTCAACCGTCCCTTCCCACTATCTCATCTGGGCCTTGAGTGCTCTTCTCTCCCGCCTGCCTTGTCCTAACCGCCTCCCTTGTGACTCCCTCCTCTCTCCCATGTCAGAGTCACAAGGGAGGTTGGAAGGGACGGGTGCGGTGCCCATGCCCATCAAGCTGAACGCCACCACCAGAGCAGAATGCCTCATCTAGGCCATCTGTGCTGCTCTGCTCCCCCCTCTGCCTCCCTGACCCTCTCCCCAAATCACCCTCTCCCCAAACCACCCTCTCCCCAAATCACCCTCTCCCCAAATCACCCTCTCCCACTTCTCAGGTTCACAGGGGAGGTGGGGACGGGCGCGGTGCCCATCAAGCTCAACCCCACCAACTACCTCATCTTCGCCTTCAGAACTGCTCTTCTGTCTGACCCCTTCAACCGTCCTTCTGCACTCTGCCCCACCTCAACCTCTCTCAACCCCTCCCAACCCCTCTCAACCCCTCTCCCCATTCTCAGGTTCACACGGGAAGTAGGCACGGGCGCGGTGCCCATCGTCCTGAACGCCACCAACTACCTCATATTCGCCTTCAGCAGCACGGCCTCCAAGACCCTCGCCTTCCATGCCTGGAACCAGTAAGCCCGCCCCGTGTTGTTACCATTGTTACCCTGGTAACCGCGGTAACTGCTGGTGAGAGGTGGTGTGAGTAGCTGCTGCTCAGCTCCTGCCTTCAGCAGCACGGCCTCCTCCAAGACCCTCGCCTTCCATGCCTGGAACCAGTAAGGACCTTGCTACCCTGGTAACCAGCAGGCGCTCTTGTTACTCTGGTAACCAGCAGGCTCCTCGGTTCCTTCCTTTTTCTCCTCCCACCCAGGGGCGGCCTTGCCGTGGAATTCTCGTGCTTCAGGAAGCCCTACTCCCTGTGGGGCGGCGGGCCCGACTACTCATACTACTCTTAGCCAGCCTTTGACTCCCCCTCTCCTCTCCCTTCCCCCCTCCTCCCCCGTCTTCCATTTTCTCCTCCCGCCCAGGGGCGGTCTTGCTGTGGACTTCTCGTGCTTCAGGAAGCCTTCTTCCCTGTGGGGCGGCGGGCCCGACTACTCAGACGACTCCGACTACGACAGCAGCTTCCGCGCCGCAAGCGTCGAGGACCCATCGGCTGGTGCGGCTTTGAGCACCAGCAGCCACCAAAACAGCTTGCAAAGGCAGAAGCCTTTGGGCCAGCAACACCACAATGCTGCTGTTGCTGCTTCCGGGAATGGTTTGACAAATGCTGGCTGGTGGGCCCGTAAGTCGGCCTTTTGGAAGGCCATTTTTGGAGGGTGATCAACGTGGCCCGTGATAGGATGGCTGGTGGGGTATGTTTTGAGAAATATTTCATCGATGTCTTAACCCAGCGTGGTTTGGCGCGGTGTAACTGTGTTGGAAGGCTGCAACGAATTGAGTGTTTGGGTTTGCATGTACATGCAGGGTTGGGTTTTTATCAGCCGCAGTAGAGAGCTAGGGGAAACCAAGGAGCCAATGAGTGCAGCCTTGGTGGCAAGGTGTACAAGGTTCCATAATTTATTTACCACAGGTAAAATTGGACAAGTTTTGAATTGTATGAGGCACCACGGTATGGGCAGTGTTGAGGCTGCTACAAATGGGGGCTGCAAATTCCGTAGCTGATCCCCCCTGCCTCCACCCAAAACCCTGGGAAACTTTCTGCCGCGGACTGTCCACGAAACTTTTCATACTTTCGTGGACAGGCCCTACTTTCATGGACACCACATCGAAGTTTTGCTTCTCCTGTGGACTCCCGTCAATACTTTCGTGGACTCCCGGCTTACTTCCATGGACACACCCATATTCGCAGTTAAAAAGGAGTATTCAGCAATGTACAAGTGATTACGGGCACAAAAATCGAGACACTCCAGAATATCTGTCCGTCGCAAGTAATCGCGAGCTACAGTGTCGGAAACCAGTTCTGAAACAGAATCTCGGAGCTTTTCTGGGAAGAGTTTGCAGCCGCACTCAAATATGCAGTGAATTTTCAAAAACAGGGTGTATTAGGGTCCGCGTGGTAAAAACACTTATTATTCAACTCAGAGCTACCCAACAAAACATAATATGCACGTGCTTGACGAGCCAGCATCAACCAGCAGTTGTTTTCTCCTTCATAATAAATAATTTCATTATTATTAATTCTGTGAAAAAAAACACCTAAGAAATATATTTTTTAGAATCACTTGTTTTTATTTGCATTAGTATTTTTCTCGTTCAAACATAAAAAACATATTCCTAAAAACGTGAATCTAAAATAGTTGTATCATTTTCTCATCTATTATTATTTTACTATGTACCGAAATTTTAATAATAATACAATCAAGACGTGAAACCTTCCATTTATATAATCATGTTCACCAAACGTTATTGGTATTCTGAGATTTCACATCTTAGTTGAAAATGCAAGCCAAGTACTAGTTGAAATATTTGTAAATGCCAGAATTCATGGTATTCCTGATTCTTGTAGGCAGAGATTTTTAATGAGCTCTATTAATCTTGTAAGCGTAATATCTATCTTTATTCTACAACGTGATTTTTTGTAGCGATATTTCACCAGGTCGGTCTGCTACACTTATCGTTCAACTAAAAGCGCTTCGTGACAGTCATTCAAATGAATTTTGAGGATCGCTTCAGAGTTTCTTTAACACGCGAAACAGCTAGCGGACTTGGTGGCTTGAAAATACTGTAGCTTGCGATTATTGCGAGGGACTTGATTACGCCCTATTTTGCTTTTTTTCCTGTCAGCATCTGTACAGTTCTGTTTGTTTTTTTGTTTCAAACTCGCGTGTGTCCATGGAAGTAAGCCTGGAGTCCACGAAAGTATTGACGGAGTCCACGGGAATGTGAAAGTTCGATGTGGTGTCCATGAAAGTAGGGCCTGTCCACAAAGTATGAAAAGTTTCGTGGACAGTCCGCGGCAGCAATTTTCCCCAAAACCCTCGAGTCGCTTCGTGATCGCTTGTGAATGCCTCGTGAGTGGGGGCATCGCCGCCAAAGCCCCCAACAGCCAATCACTCACGCACAATCGCCTCTGTTGCGCAGGTTGGTGCTGGACTTCCAGGCTTATTATTGGTCGTCCGCATTTCTTATGCCCCTCTCCTCCTCAAACCATGCCTCCTAATTTGGCCGTAGCGCCTCGTCGAGGCAAGCCTCAGCCAGCCAGAATTCTGACTTCTGAAATATCTTGCTACACCTGTTCTCTATTTAGTCCTACTTTTTTTTCACGCGGCTTGAGCCTGTAAGCAGGAAATGTAAAACATGGGCAAACGGGACTTTGAAGGGAAAATCCCACAGTAAGCAATGACACTTGGTTACAAAATCTCGCTCATGCACTAGATTGGTTGCCTGCGCAACCTTGAAGCTCTGAATCTCGCAATTGTCGAAATACAACTTGGTAGTTCGTTATCATTCAGACTGCAGCCAATCAGGTTCAGTGTCAATGCGAGTCATGCTGAGAAACGGAAGGTGAGATTGCAATTTGGACTGTTCGAGGTGGGACCATAAATAGAAAAGGTGTACAAAATGCTAATTTGCGACCCATTTGCCCGTGGCGAAACATGCGAAACTGTGAAGTCATGGGCGTATGGTGGATATCATTTGTACCATCACAGCAGCAGCGCACCCCCATGCAATACATATGACGTCCAATGAACCGCCCATTCGTCAGAGGCCCCCATGCACTCGTCAGTCCGACTGGCACGGATTTACAGGCAATGACCCGTCCTGGACTGGCCCAATTTTGGACGGCTCAACCACTTGCGACACTGCTAGGAGCGAACATGCAGAAGGAACAATTGTAGGTTGACTCGGAACCAGGGTGCGATTGTGCGACAGTTACTGGGGTACACGGGAGAAACAACGAATGTCTTCCGTGTTCCAAGGGTCCTGCCAAACGGGTAACCATGGTCCTACCTTGAGGCCCAATTTGCCAGCGATTTGAAGGCGTCCGTTACTGGAGTAACCGGCCAAAAAAAACTTGGGCCTCTTTCAGACCTCTAGTGTACCACAGCGCCTTATGCTGTTTGGCGTTTTCCTCCCTCAGCTGTCCCGGCCCCAGTTCGAGTCCAGAAATGTAATACCCCCGAAACCAGGAGCGTGTTCAAAGTAACCGACGTAGAATTGATATCTGACGGCGGGATTCTTTGCCTGGGAAAGAGGGCCGACATCGGCTACTTTGAATGGCGGTAAGAGGGAACACACCGTAAAAACGAGCCCCGGGAGCAAAGGTCGAAAACGCCGGCGCAGAACACTTGCCGTTGACATTCTACAGTATTGTCAACCGAATCCCCATCTGAAGTTCACTTATGTTTACTGTACCTTTAAAGCGAGGCAGCTTGAACTTCAACGCGGCCGAACATAATCAACGCTGGAAAACGGTTCATAAACATCGCGTTCTCTCTTCGGCTCGACACTCGTGCTGGTAGCAACCGCTGTTGTTTCGAGTGGAGCGCCGTTTGCTGCCTTGTGCTTGTTGCCGTAATTTGTGTCCCGTGCCGTGACTCCCGTCCCGTCCTCTCCTGTCCGACGGGAGTCTGTAGCGCAGTCTTCGCTGCGCAGGAGGTTCTTCCCGCTCCGCCGCGCGGCGCCTTCCACCATGGCCCGTCATTTCCTCGCGGTTCAGCTCGCGCTGCTCGTCACAGTCTCACACTCCTCCGCCGCCGCCGCCGCCGCGTCCGCCCCTCCCACGCCGCCGCCCGCTTCGTTCTTCCCCTTTCCCATTTCCTTCGGATCCATGGGCGGAAAGCCTTTCTTCGCCGGCACGCATACACCGCAGAAGCCGCCGCCAGCGGCGGCGCCGCGTACGGGAAAGCCTTGGAATCGGCGAACGGGAGTTGCGGCGGCGTGCAGCGAGTCGAGTCTGAGCGGCTTCACGTCATCGAAAACGCTCACGCCGGGGTAGGCGTCCAATTCGTGAAACAATCTGCAACGTGCAAATTACACAAGCAAATGGGGTTGGTTGAGGGCGTGTTCAGCGCGTACGTTTACAATTCACTTTATACGGTCCAATATGGTTTTTAGAGTTTCAACGCGGTGAAGTTTGAAAACCGCTCCTGATCGCGATATATGAACCGTGATCCGTGTTCCTGTAAACTTACGCGCTGGACACGCCCTCAGAATGGTTTGGGTTTGGTTCTGAGTTCGGGTTGAGGTTTGGCTGGCGTGCCCAAGGTGATTGGTGCCTCGGAGCTGGTCCGGCAGTACCTCCATTAGTGAGATTGACGATCTGGAGTACAGTAGACAAATTGACGATTCGGAGTTATGGGCAGCGAAATAGCTGCGCCCGTGCTCTCGGCTCGAAACAAGCCGGACGCGATAAGAGCACACTTCTACGATAGGCTCCGGTAAGTGTATTATTTAGGCACAAAAATTTAGTCCTAGAGTTTTGGCGACGTTTCACGCTAACATTCACATTAGAAACTTGCACTTTTACATGTTACGAAGCCTGATTCAATCGAGTATATTTCGCCTGTCTCGCATTCCAGTCCCTTCCCCCGCATCCGGCATTTCGCCCTACATTTTTGCGTCCACATTCCTATGGCGCGAATTTTAGTTACTCTTGATTTTCCCGCACTTGGCTGTGTCCTTCCCGGGCCTTTCCCAACATCCCCCCACCTTCCCCCGCCTTCCCCTTTCCCTTCCCCTCCCCTTTCCTCCCCCCTCTCCCCCCCCCTCCCCTCTTTCCCCCCTTCCCCCCGATGCCAGCCTGGTTCTCCACTGGAAGGCCACGTCAGGGACGACCGTAAATATGGCGCTGCAAGCCACGTCAGCCGCCGTTTCGGGCGGGTGGTTCGGCGTCGGCTGGTCGTCGGCCGGCAAGATGTACCCGTCCGACTGCGTCATCGCGAATAGCGAGCTCTACGGGGCTATTAACGCGTACACCATAGGGGACTACTCGCCAACGAGCATCATCCCCTTTGCGTCCTTCTCGCTCGGCTCGTCGCCCGCGTTATCCGGCGGCGTCGCCACGTACGTTCCTCTGTGTACGGTACATGTCCCTTTCCGCACCGTACGTTCTCTCTCCCCCCAGCTCCTGTCGCTCGCCGCATCTCAAGGCGCCTCGAAAAGCGTCGCCGCGGCTGCGTTTGAGAGAGTCACTCATGTCGCTCATGTTGCTCGTACCCTTCTGCGTTCTCTCTTAACCGTTGCCACTTACGTTGTCTCCCTTCCCCCCACTTTCTCCCCCTCCCTTCCCCCCACTTTCTCCCCCTCCCTTCCCCCACTTTCTCCCCCTCCCTTCCCCCCACTTTCTCCCCCTCCCTTCCCCCCACTTTCTCCCCCTTCCTTCCCCCCATCCCTCGTTCACTGCAGCTTCTCCCGGACGGTGGGCACGGGCGACAAGATATCATTCGTGAGCGGCCCCATGAAGACCATCTGGGCCTACTCCGACGGCCCTTCCACCGCCCTAGACGGCCACGCTGGCCACCGCGGCACCGTCACCATCGACTACTCCTGCGACGCCACTGCCACCCCTTCCCCGCCCCCCCCTCCCCCCACGCCCTCTCCCCCGCCCCCCCGGGTTTCCACCCCCCCCCGCCTCCAGTT